CCAATTTCATGGTCCGAGCGAGCGCGCTTCTTCGACGAACTGCCACACGACTTCCCCCCATATTTCCTCCACATTGTGGGCGGCGACTTCAACTGCACGCTCATCAAGGATTTGGACTCGCTCAACCCCAGACTGTACGATGATATCCATACAGTAGGAATTCACCGGGAGATTTTGTGGTAGTGGCACAGTGCGAGAATTCACATTGACATGCGACAGAGCGTCGTACATGTTATCGGTGACCCAAGTCAATTTGGGGTCTCCCTTCTCTTCGCGTGTCCGTTTCAGAGGCTTGCGAGGTTTCTCAAAGTCGTCGACCTCCATGCCGTCGACCATTGATTGGAAAACTTCTGTGGACGTTTGCACGTCAGGTGCGTCCAGGTCTACCTGGGTAGTCTCCTCCTCCATCGTTATGTCCGTTGTGATCGGGGTGTCGGCAGTGGGGGCCCAACTGTGCTCCTCCAGTAGTGGTACAGGAGTTGGCAGTGCGTCGGTAGCGTGTACCTTAGCCCGTTTATTCTCTCCCTCCTGTGTTTGTGGCTCAGGAAAAGTAGTGGGTGTCACCAGCAGTTTGTCCAGGTCAATACAGTGAGTTTGTCTACGACCATTGCGAGTCGGTGCAGGTTGGTAATCTTTGACGAACACGCCGTAATGTACCCCGTGCAGCATGATTTGGTCTACCGGGTGCCCCTTCACCAGCAGCGCCACTGGCTGAGAGGGTGTGTTAAAATACACCCGCCAAATATTGGGATGTGTATTGGACTTTTGTGTCGAAGACGAGTACGCGAGTTTGTAACTGATGAAGACTGGATTAGTCTTCAAGCGACGCAGGGCGTTGAGGACGGCTCGCGCATCAAAGTTGAAGCGCGTGCCTACAATGTCCATGTAGTACAGGTCGTGTAGGTCGTCATGTTGCCGTTGGGACGGGTTCCGATTGCCCGTCGTCGAGGAAGCCACCACAGAGAACTCCTTGCCGAGGAGCCGGATGGACTGCCCGCTCATGCCAAGGCGAGTCGCCTCGTCCGTGACGGTGACCACAACATCTCCACCACGTGCCTTGTTTACTTGCACGAAGTCTTGCATGAGGTGGGCCCAGGGAGCGTCTTTGTTGTCCTCGAAAAGGCTCTTGATGATCTTGTCGTTCGTTTGCGACATCAAGGCGTCGCTCGTGTCAATCCAAAACGTTGTCGT